GTAATGTTAACCCAAATAAACAAATTATATCTAGAAAGCATAGTAAACATCTACTATACTAAAAAAAATCCGAAAACTTTTTTTTATAGATCCTACCAATATCAACTTATAAAATTAATAAATAAAATATTATCAATCTATTTATTAAACTTATAAATTACTAAAATGTAAAACAAAAACTCACACAATAAGTTTTTTTTACTTTATGGATGTATTGACACCGAGTGTTTGTAAGCTTCTAGCTTTTAGATTTTAGTTTAAATAAAACGTTCCAAATCTAAAAGCTATTTCATGTAGTATTTTAACAAAACAATACTGAACTATTAAAATCAATTTCCACAATTATATATTAATATATATATATATATCATATATATATATATATATATATATATCTATATATAATATATTATATTATATATATAACGATTGTCATTTTATGTAATTTTACATATTTCAAAAGCTTCCGGCTACTTTTGCCAAACACTGATATTACAAATCAAAGCTATAGGTTCCAGCTTCCAGCTACCAATTACTCGCTAACAGTCACCGACTTCTAGCTACCCGCTAACAGCTTCCAGCTTACAACTAATTTTGCCAAATACGTCATAGCTACATAATTTATATGATATGCAAAAAACTTACAAAAAAACTATTATATATACTATTAACTAGAAAGGTTTCCCGCGCGTTGCGCGGGGCGGAAAGTGTTAGTTTTGTGTGTATGTTCATGTGTTTCATACATTACTATTATCTGAAGTACACTGCCTGAATGGTATCCATAGTAAAGTACATTGCTAATCTATGTAATTTGCCATGAATCGGATGAAACAAACTTGTCCTTGGTGGCTAGCAAAACAACATCAATAGTTCAATACCACCATCAACTTTCTTAGCGTACCATAAAGTCCAAAATAAGAAATGCAACGGTAAATCATGGTAGTAATAAACATATATACATCAATATTGATATCAGAACAACTAAAACTCAGGCAAAAAGGAAAAAGTAAAAAACCAAAAACACAATCCAACCATGACTTTTACAAATTCACATCAACAACTTGAGATTTTTCTTTAGGGACTGTAACAACAAAAAGTGTAAAAAGCTTAGCTTGAGTTTTTTTTATGTAGTCAAACACCTAATGTTCACCTCTGTAGTTTTTCCATCATATAATAACAAAACAAAATTGGTCAAATGGAGATCGTACTTACATGATTCGTCCATTACAGCATGGACAAAATTTGTGGGCGTTCTTTGTAGACAATCGAACCTTCACCTCTGCAGTTTTTCCATCATATAATAACAACCTCTTTTAGTAATATAATTATTCATTATCACATTTATTAAATGATTTTTTTTAAAAAAAAAAGCAAAAAACATTGTATTTCCTATTTTAAAAATTCTAAAGTAGTTAATAGCAACGTTAAAATATAATTTAAGTTTTACCTTTAGCATCATTGATTTGTTTCTGCTGGGCATCTCCCATGTCGGGCATCTCCCATGTCGGGCGCACCTGCTACACCAAAAAAACCTGATTATTATAAATATAATAATATGTATTAAGATTTAGTTGTAAATTTGTGTATATAATTTTTTTTAATTATTTTGTACCTGTTGCTACACCGGTTTGACCTGTTTCCCTGAATATACAAACAGAAAACTGATATCAAACTATGAATATGAATTACATGGTGAAGTGAAAATCAACAGTTCAGTTGACCTATTAGAAAATAGGATAAACATTTTACTGAGTGGGTGGTTTGCCTACCAGACAAAAGAGATTGCTGTAGTGTGATCATTTTCTGTAAATGGTAACAACAATACCTGAATGGATGCGTAGACCAGTGTTGGTGGCGAAACCGACAGCAATTGAAGACTTCATACAATTTTGGACCTGGAACCTTGAAAAAAAGGCTGAAACTGAAGTTTGAACTAAACAATGAAAAGAATCAGAAAGCACAAGGACCATTTCTGTAATTTACTCAAAATTACAAAAAGGGTCCCTACGTTTTCTGATTTTTCTAGTTTTTAATCTAAAATGGAACTTTTTTTCAGTTGTGGTTCTTATTTCAAGGTTTTATATCGGTTTGGTCCCCGTAGCCTTAAAATAAGAACCAAAACGATATAAAACGTTGAGTTACGTTAGGGGTGCTTTGGGTATAATAGAATCAGATGACAAAGAAATAGAACAAACATCGTAATTAAGATTTATAATTTCAATTTTCAGTTGTTACAAATATATCGCATAACCAACAATTACATATAATAAAAAAATTATATATATTTTCACAAAGATTAAAACTTTCAGGAAATAAGATACTTACAAAGTCGTTATTTAAGATTTTTACTTGATGAATGTTTTACGTAAATGGATGGTGGCTGACGACGATGGGAAATCGGAGACGGAAACTACACACCTGACCCTGGAAAGATAAGTCTTCCTGCAACAATGGTAAATGGGTAATTAGTAAGTGTGCAACAGTTTGTGTTTTAATAAAGTTATAGCGAGAAACCTACCGGTTGTCGATTACTACAGCTAAAGAAGCTACAACAATTTCTTTAAAATTAGTGTAAATGCATTCCCCTCAATGGGATAAGAAATACAATCAACTTTAGACAATTAAAAAAAAAGAATTTTTTGCTAGGTAATGACCAATTTGTCCTAAGATGGTCTTAAATGAGATTGTCCTTGATTCTAAATGTTTTTTATTTACATTAGTTAAAAATCAATTTTTAATAAACGGGATTTTCATATATCTAAAATACATTGGTAACTTAAGATACTCGAGTAAGTAAGGTATTCATATAAAATTTTCAACTATAAATACTTTGCACTTTTTTAATATTTTCAAATATCATAAAATATTGTTTCATTTAGTGGATGAAAGATGGAATAAATATGAGAATTTGTTGAATGAGAGATGGATTCTTTAAGGAACAGACATCAATACAAATTCCCACTAAAAAAAGCAAATGATAGAGAAGTAATTGTAAAAGATTTGATACAGGAAAGAAACAATTTTTTTTAGAAAACCAAAAAACAGGAAATGGCTGTAGACGTATAACAGAAACGTACCAAAGGCAAAATCATTCTAAGTTTCTGATGAACTCTTGACCTCATGAGTCATGGCAGTAATGTGCAAGTAAAGCAAACATATATAATTTGTTTAACCAAAAAAATATTATTGTTTTATTTTATTTCCTGTTTACCGGAAATTATCTGATATTTAAGATCCATACTTAAAATTGGAATTTGTATGGAAGTGAAAAAAAAAACTGAGTGTTTATGTGAGAGATACAGAAATCAAGACAAAAGACTGACTTACCCCTCCTTTAGAAAGTGTTTCAAAGTTGGCTATACTTTGTTTGTGAAGAAATGGTATGTGATCTTCTCCATTCACTGTATAACAATAAAAATTTGGAAATTCGAATACCACATAACTAATTCTGAAAGATTATAAAAATATGTAAAGAAACAATGCATGAAAGTTTACCTCTTATACTACAATAATGGGAAAGATCAACAACCTGTAAACAATGAAAAAGGTAAAATCAGTCTAAAAATGTATATAACATAATAACAGGAAAGATAAAAGAAGATTTGAATTATTAAACAGAATAGTTCCTGTATCTCATGACCACAATTCTTGAGTGAATGTTTTAAGTTTTAAATATGTGTTCTATTAAATTTTGGGAGCATATTTGCATCTCTATCGTTCTTGTCATCACAAATTATTATATTAACAAATTATAAATATAATTTACTAAAGAAAATGGATGCAAATTGAATATCTTATTTTGTGAAAGAAAAAGAAAAATAATTATGGAAGTGTATGTGTTATAGTTGAGATTAAAAGATGAATGAGCAAATCCAGTACATGGAGAATCCCCAAGTTAAGTGTAAGAAGGTTGGAAGTATGGAGTTGTTGAAGCAAACAAAGTATTTGATGAGTATTTGCATCGTCTGTTTCCCATTTGTATATGCTCAATCCCTAAAAACTTAAATTATGAGCCACAGATCTGCAACAAGAATCAAAGGAAAACAATAACCGGTTATAAAAAACAGACAAACAATTCATCGAACACCTTATCTGCATACAAAATATACATCTCCAAATAAAAAGCAGACAAACATTTCATCAAACACCCTATCTGCATACAACATATACTTCTCCAAAAGTACAAATAGGGAGACCAGAGAAGGCGACTACAATAACCAATGATCGAAATTAAATGTAAACATATGGTGAACAAATGAAAGTAAACCACCTTTTTTGACCTTCTGTGAGATTAACGTCGAATGAGGATACTGCTGCTGGTGGTGCGTCGGCGAAGAACAGCAGCGGAGAAGACAAATATAGGGATGAAGGAGACTGGTAGTGATGATGGAGACGATACTGATTTTCCTTCCGATGAGTACTCTCGTAGCACCGGTGGTGTAGGGTTTTTTGAAATTCCGACGGAGCAGATGTAGGCATCTGCGTTATCTGTGGTTGATATCGATGCAGAACTCGCACAGTGTACGAATGATTGATTCCGGTGCAGTGGAGGCGAGAAGCGGTGGAGACGAAGACCGAGAACAAAAGGGTAATTGAAGGTACCCGAAAGAATAACACGATCAAATAGAGGCACGGTCGCGGTCGTGCAGCCAGACGGCTGCATGAAGTAGAAGAACCATCGACCTGATGAAGATGATAAAAGAAAGACGGTGGAATTTGGAACAGAGATAGATAAAGGAAGACGGTGGAAGGATCGGGAAGTAATACGCGTAACCCTGTGGTAACCCAACGAATAGTACCCTGGTCAGGTACTGTTCCTAACTTTCATTTCCTTAATATATATATATTAATTGTTAAAAAGTTGAAGAACAGTAACTTTTTTTCTCTTTTATCTTTGGCCACATAAGTTTGAGTTTTCGCTATTTTGACACTGAGGTTTTGCTTTCCCTTCTACTGTTTTTCCATTCTTATCTGCTTTATTGCCGCTTGCCGTCCTTCTCCTCCAATAGTATTTGTTTCCGTTTTCCTTATTTCTTCTTTCTTTATTCTTTACTGTTCCTTTCTCTTCAGGTCTTGCGTTTTCGCCGATCCTTTTCCTCCACTGAGTATCACCGCCTTTCTTCTCCAATTTGTTTCTTCACAGACTCAAATATTATCCGAATGGACACTTCCTCTATGGTTATTCGGCGAAATATCGATAGATAGAGACACCTACGAGGAAGAGAAGGAGAACGCCTTTTTTTGGTCTGTTGTTGATCCTCAGGAGCAGTGGGTTAGCTTCCTTGCCGTTATTTCTATCTTTATCTTAATACAACCGACTCAAACCACTCCCTTGCCCTTAAGTCAGAAGGTATTTTTCTATCTTTATTGTCGGTTTTTTTTTTCTATTCCAAATTACAGTTATTGGTTTACGCGACGGTTTTGAAAAAGATGGGGAAGACGAAGAAGGAATTATTTGCATCGGCGCCATGGCGTCCCGGATGAGACGATCCTCTATTTCTCGGTGGGGCACAAGCCGATGTAGGCTGATTCGATTGCATGTTTGCCAATTTTTTCACTGTTCTTCGTCTAGGTATGGTTTCTATTTGGATTTTATTGTGATTTTAATATGCTCAGTCTAATTCTCTTTCCTGATGATGTTTATGTGGTGATTCATATTCTACATGTAACTTACAACTCCGAAATAAGAGAAGGGGAAAAATGGAAGTGAGCTTCGAGTTGCGTGGTCTCTTCCATTCCTCGAATTCCATCTTCCCACTTCCGCCTCCGTCCTTCCCCGCTATTTCAGGTTTGTCTTTGGTTCTTTTTCTAGGGTTTATATATTGCAGCCCAAAAACATACAAATGGAAGCCAAGAAACCACCTAACATAAGCTCACCCCAAACCATTTTTATTATCGTTGTGTATTTACACATGATTTAGTTGTAATAAACCCTATTTTAGCCTTTCATTTCAGCAAAACGATAGCTTGAAGCTTTAAAACAATTTTTAAAGGAAAGGGTAAACATAACCAACTCCATTGCGTCCCCTACAGGTAACAAAATGTGTTTATTCGATCCCCACCAAACTAAGCAGGTCCATCAATTCTTTTTTAGAGGTAAGTTGTGTATATTGAATCTTCAACTAAGAACAATTCCATATATGATGAACTAAACATTTATTAAAAGTGGCTCTTCGTCTTATACCAACTATTTTTTTTTTTTCAATTAGAATTTGGTAGAATTTAATGTCGGAATAATATTTATTTTGGGGTTTTCTAATCTAGCATTAATTAGCTTTAATTATTGATCTAAGATAATTATACGTGAACTAAGAGTAACTGGGACCATTTTTTAAATAATTTTATACATACTTGATAAGGAATTTATTCAAATTTGGAAGAATTAGAGGTTATTGTGTATCCGCAATTCATTTTATAGGTGGATATGACATTGCACATGCTGTTGTAAGGTAACCATCATTTTTTTAGGTTTTTGTTTTTCTTATTAGGTGTTGTGAACCCTTCCATATGAAACTAATCTCATTCTGTTACATAATTACATTGTATATGATCGTGAAAAAATTAAGTTTTGCGAACTCAATGCAACACTTATGACATTAGGAACTCACATTGGTGGTGATTTTTTTCTCTTTACCAGGTATCTTACTTTTACTTAATAAAAAATTGCACTTTACTACAATTTGCCCAAATTACCATTTTAGTCATGACTGGTGTCCATTTTACAATAAGGGAACATGATTGGAGAAGAATATGGAATATCCAACTAAAAATTGGGCATCACTGGTGTTCCATTCCTTACTTACTATCACTGCAGTGCAGCCCATCAATTAGAAGTGGTGCATATTAACTTATACAACCCTTGATGAGAACTCAAAATTGCCAGTTATTTGTTCACACACCACCACACACCACCAGGCCAACACATGCAGCACAAGTTCGTTCAAAAGTAGTGAGAGAATAGAAAAAAGAAATTTTGCTAAAAAATGTACAATTCCAATTGGTATAACTTTATAAAAAGTGATTTCATGTTCTTTTTTTTTAATTTATTGATCAAAGTGAGATTTCCTATATTTTTTATTGATTAGGAAATTTTGGTGTTTTCTGTTTGCATGATTACGAGAAGGAGAAGAAAGAGGAACATGGTATAGATTCCATTCCTTCCCATTTTCAGTTTTTCAGCCTTTAACATCAATCTTTTATTCATAAAAAATTTAACCCTTTCGCAGAGTTGTGTAGACGTGGTGCAAGGAAAGAAGGTCGAACATAATGATAATGTAAGTTCATCTATTTACAGACTAACTTTTACATGTTTTTGCTGAAATTACAACTTTTTTGTTGTTTTTTTCATTGTTAATTGCCAATTCAACATCATTACTAATTTACTATCTTATTACCATTTCTTCTGAGGTTCATGAATTGGATGTTTCTGGTGACATATTTGAAAGTAAAACATTTTGTTTTGAATTTTCTATGCTTGAAATGGCTTATGAGACATAAAATGGCGTGAAAGTGCGGTATGTGATTGACTTATTGAAGGAAAATAATGAAATTTTCAAATGCTTTGAAGGTAATGCATTCAGTACCTCACCCACACCCAGGTAAATTACCTTTTGATATATATATATATATATATATATATATATATATATATATATATATATATATATTTTTTTTTTTTTCATTTTCATTTGTGTTTGTGGTTGTTTATATCTAATGTTATCTATGCTTTCTGCTGGAAATGGAAAAATTTTCTTAGGGTGAAAATTTAAAATAGTTGGTTGACATCTTTACAGCCGCATAACTCAAGTTATATATTTCCAAATCAGTTCATTCTTGACTCAAACATGCAGTCGAATGCTAGAGGAAGGTGCAGCAACTTGATTCAAGTTATTTGGAGATCGCATGTGAAAGTTACGACTGTTTAAAGTTGGCTGCATGGTACGTTTTTGTGCTGTCAAAAACTAATATTATAAGTTTTGTTCACATTTTGTATTTAATTGATGCAAAAATAATAGTTAAAAACAGTGAAAACTGTCATTTTTAATGTTTGCAATTCGTAACGGATGTCATACGTGCGTTTTTCAAGGAATTGTTCAAGGAAGGAATGGAATTGCTTGAGATTCATGCTTCAAATATTCAACAAAAGAATGAAATTGTTCATTCCGTTGCGAGATGGAATGGAATGGACCATTTTGTTCTTCGTGTTTTCTTAATTTTCCATTATTTACTGACTAAATGTTTTTTTTTTTTAATTTTCATTGTCTCATTAAATGTAGAAATTATTTCCAGCTTTCTGTTTCCAAACATTATTCAAAGTAGCACCAACGACATCCCTGCCTCTAATACATTTCTATATTTTTTACCAAAAAATACCACATCGCCATTACGTGCATTTTTCGTTTTTAGGTGTTAAATGCACTAACATAGCTATATAGTTTGCCTTTCCACCTTTTTTCTGTTTTTTTTAAATTTGTTTTGATTTTTCACCAATAACCAACAATATGGTCTGAAAAAATCGTATTCCGGTTGGCATTCTTTCATTTATATAAATGACTAAAATACCCTTTGCCCACTGATGTGCTCTGCTGTGTATAAATTATAAAATTGGGGTTATGATCTGGTCCAGCATACGGTGGTTCTGTAGATATTGTTTCTTCTGGTCGTGGCTTGCAAGAAATGGTAAATCATCTCAAAACATTTTTACTTTTTGGGTTCTTTTCTAGGGTAAAATACACTAAATAGCAACATACTTTCGATGATTTGTTTGTCATATGAAGACCCCTTCTGTATATGTAATATGTTTTGATTAATATTATATTATGTTCTACCATTTGGTATAGCTTGAAATAAGGGAAAAAAACAAACACAGCGCCAACGACGCGCATGATTCCCCTCTAGTTATTATCATTGTTGTAAAATTGGAAGGGAACAAGATAAAAGAAATGATCAATATTATATTAGTTTCCATGATTTACGGGATTAATATATTATATTTATCTATTTTTGAAATATTTAGGGATTTAGTTTTTAATAGATAAAATTGGTGAACAGGGGGGCCATAAGTCAAAATTTTATATTTTTGGACTAAATATGTATAAAGTTAAAGCATAGAGACTATTTATGCCAAAAAAAGGTAGTTAGTGATTCAGTAATACTTATACAATATTACTGAATACTTTCATTTTCCCCTTTACTTTCATATAGTGATCTTCTCCCATATAAAGTAATGTAAACTATTTTCTAGTAAAATAGTCTTAAACTTGGGAAAACTTACAAAAGACAAACAGTACAGTCGAGTCTTAGTACATGCATTTAGAAAGGGGCCTATAATGCTAACTTTATGATTCCTTAGTGCATACATTAGGGATATATATTAATCGGGTCCAGTAGACAGTAGAGTGTGTGCTTTCCGCTCCATTTCCTATTCCTTGTTTGGTTGTGGGCTTAGAGCAGATGCACCCAGTCTACTATCTATCCGATCCTAGTTTTATATATATAATATATATATATATATATATATATATATATATATATATAGATATATATATATATATATTTCGTATACACCAAGAAATCATAAGGAGTACCAGGTATAGGTCAGGTCATAATATACTAATTCAACACATCGTTTTCTAGTACAAAAACATACTTTTCAGTTAGAACATTTAGTAGGCTAAAATAGAAATTTATTAGAAAAAGGGTTTAATCCATTTTATTAAACCATTATAACTTAAATGACCTTTAGTGGTTAATTCTATAATACATTAGTTTATACATCAGAGTGATATATAATTAATATCCGATAGGCAGTTGGATGTGTGTTTTCCGCCTTACTTCCCGTTCCTTGTTTGGTTGTGGACTTAGGGCAGATTCACACAATTAACTATCCGTTCGATATTAGATTATATATAGCTTGTAAAAACTAATTGATTATAGAAGGATCTATTGTGGTTACTATTTTTACTAAAGGAAATAAGGGTTTTTCTTAAAGAATGTTTTTATCAAATAAAGGAACTATTACAATTAACTCTGTAAGTACCAAATAAATACACCAGGGTTATATACAATGAAGATCTAACAAACAATGGGATGTGTGACTTTCGCCTCATTCCCTGTTCCTTGTTTGGTTGTGGGCTTAGGGCAGATTCACACAATCGATTGTCTGTTTACTCTAAATTGTATATAACTTGTATCCATTTAGTACTCATAGAAGGAATTGTAGAGTTATTTTTACTCTCAATCATCATATCAGAAGATATAAGATTTTCTGAAGGAACAAGCGAACTTTTCTAAAAAGAACTTTCAATTTACTTTACATCACTAAAATACTTATGAACTCACCAACTTAAATGCTGATCTACTCATTCAAAATAACTTGTATTCTCAGGAAACTAGTAGACAGGTATGCGCGCTGGGAATCAGAAGATGAAGTATAGTAGCTTCATGTCTTGTTTTGTTATTTACTTTTGGATTCAATCTTTTGTGAATCACTACTTTGTAAACACTTAAATATAAATAACATGGTTGTTTGTTACTATGATTGCTATGATACATGTGTTGTGATACTATACATGACATCCTCCGCCCCCGAACGTTTCCGCCGTTCCGGTTTGGGGGTGTGACAGATTGGTATCAGAGCATTGTTTATAGTGAACTAAGTATATCAACCTATAAAAGATATACAACTATAAATACAATGGGGCCGAAGTGCTCTGAATAATAATATATTTTAAGAATATAACAATACTTTATAAAAGTATACCTACATGCTTACACATATATACATACTAGAACAAGTATCACAAGAAGAACAGAAAAGAAGTATTTAAAGGTTGAACACTGCGGTCAAACCTGGAAAGTTATGTAATCATATCTGAGATCAATATAGCCTGATCAACTATATTCATTTGAGATGTGACCGACATGTGTTTGGGAGTGATGTGGTGTTGCAACAGTCTTAAAACTTACCTAACTCTATTCAAGGGATTTGTAGATTAGAACAAAAAGTTAGAACACTATGGGAGTATTTTATGATACTACAAGACAACAACAAGTTTAAAAACATACCAAGTTCATTACATTAAAATACTATAGGAGTATTTTAGGCACTATAAATAACTTATGCGAGAACTTAAAAGACCCTTCTGGTAGGTCTATGATTCCGGAGTGTATACTTCCAAGGTTTTATATAATTGAGATTTTATAGACTTAGAATTTGTGATCTATGCTTCACTACCTGTTCCTTGTTTGGTTGTGGTCTTGGAGTAGGATCACTTATTCGAAGGTCTATTTAATCTTAAATTATATACAACTTGTATACATTGCGCAATCATAGGAGGACCCAGTAAGGATCACCCCATAATGTTACACTTAATCTCATAGATTCTTTAGACACTTCCATTCTCCTACGACAAACCCTGATAGATGTAACCACTCCATCATAGCAGTCAGTAGAGGGGACAAGGAGAAACAAGGAGAGGTTTCCAAGAAGTGATCAGCCGAAGAAACAAAACGTCTCATGCGTCACACTAATAAATAATTACCTTAATTGACTTAGTGAGCTAGTGATTTCACTACTCACACTATGTGTTAGAATTATTTCTTTTCATGCAGCCGGTATCAGTTATTCAATTCACAGAGATCCATTCGAGGATAGCCACTTCTGATTCATAAAGTTTATTTTATATAGACTATTTTATGAATTGTTTCCAGAACCCTATGCAAGTCAGATCAGATACACTCAGAACTAGGATAACATTGTCATTTCATCTTTCGAGTTATAACCACTGCTATAGACTTATTTCCCGTCTTATCTTTGTATTCTTTTAGCAAAAGATGCCTCCACGTCGATCAGCGAGACACACTACTCAGATAACCCCAACTCCAACTCCACTACCTCCTCCACAGTTCGATCCTGCTGCTCTCCAAGCAGCAATAGCAGCCGCAATATCATATGCTTTAGCCCACATCAGCGGAAGTGGTACCAACGGAACCCGGTAGCGGTACCCACGTAACAAACCCCTGAGTTACTCACGGACACCCAAGGGAGTGTTCGTACAAGGACTTCATGAACTGCAAACCGAAATCCTTTAATGGAAATGGTGGAGTCATTGCTCTGATGCGATGGTTCGAGAAAACAGATTCGGTCTTCGCAATCTGTCTGTGCCCAGAAGGGAGCAAAGTGAAGTTTGCTACCTGCACCTTCTCCGACAGAGCCCTGACATGGTGGAATAGCCATGTTAAGTCACTGACCCTATCAGTGGCAAACTCAATAGGTTGGGAGAACCTAAAAGAGTTGATGTTAGAAGAATACTGCCCAAGGGGTGAAGTTCAAAAGCTAGAACAAGAGCTATGGGAGCATACCATGGTCGGCTCAGACATAGTGGCCAACACTGACAGGTTTAGCGACCTGGCAGCACTATGCCCTGAGATGGTTACCTCGGAAAGTAAGAAGATAGAAAGGTACATCTGGGGTTTATCTACCCCGATTCAAGGAGATGTACTGTCTTCTAAACCAACTACATTTGATAGCGCCAAACGCCTGGCCCAGCGACTCATTGACCATGGAGTCCGCCATGGCGTGGTGGTCCCCGTTCCCGAGCCATCAAAGGGAGGGGACTATAAACGAAAGTCGGGGAAAAAGAGAAAGGAGTGAACAACCCAGGAAACCCCGCAGGAACAACAAATGGGTACTATATATGCCGCCACAACACCTGCTATTCCAGCACCTGCCAGTCGATAGGCTGGAAATCTCCCGAAGTGTGGAAAGTGTAATCTACCACCACACCGGAGTATGTCGGGAAATGCAATGCTTGAATTGCCACAGGAAGGGGTACACTGCCCGGTTCTGCAGGGCACCGACACAACCGATCTCCCAAGTCCCCGGAGTAGAAGTAAACCAGGCCTGCTATGACTGTGGTGAGACAGGGCATTACAAGAGGGACTGCCCGATAACGAAGAACTCAGGCGCGGATGGACGGATTCTGATGATCACCGCAGGAGAAGCTACCCCGGAGTCCCCAGCGACCAGCGGTACGTCTTCGAATTAAGAATTGCTTTAAAAATTAATTTATATTTATATAAGATTAAAACTTGGGGAAATATTTAAAAGTAATTATAATAACTCACTCATATGAACAAGTCACAACATTCATGAGAGAACTAAAGATCCGTCCAGGGAAGCTATGATGGCTTAGTATGTACATCAGGGTTGTGCATAGCTAAGATTTTGCAGACTTAGAGTGAGTGATTCCGCCTCAATTCCTGTTCCTTGTTTGGTTGTGGATTTAGGGCAGAGTCACTCAGTCGACCGTCTTATTCATCTTAATTATACATAACTTGTATATGCCAGGCGATCATAGAGGTACCGAGGAGGATCATAATATAGAGTATCAACACTAGTTATCAAAACACTGCACTATTGGTACTCGCTCATCGCAGTATGATCTGTTGCAGTGGTAATATCAAGGGGAAAACAGAAAGCACTAGAAAATTTACACAAAGTACATTGTTGAGCACACTTGGGATACACCGTCGTATAACAAATGTTTCTTTCAAATCAGCCTAACTTTTGTTTCTGTAAAGAGTTCGTTGTCATCATTCGTCATAAATTGGCATGGTCATCACCATACTAAGTTCATATGTTTCCATCGCCTTGACCGTCAAAATTCATGAAACCCTCATCATTCGTAACGACAGTCCGAACCAGACCTCAGAATCGTCTACCTCGTATTCTAAACCCCGAAGTCCTCGTGCGAGGAGTACTTTGCCCTCCAAAACCTTGACGACCGTATACTCAGCAGACCTTCCCGAACTACCACTCGTCCAACAGATCAAGTTCAAGCACTGAGGCTAAGGACGAATACATCCCACCTATCACTATTAAGTGTATACGCGAGGGGTGGTATATAATTATGATTATGCATATTTAGTATGTGTGTTTCCGCCCTATCTCATGTTCCTTGTTTGTTTGTGGACCTGGGGCAGAGTCGCACATCCGACCGTCTTACTAATCTTAATTATATACTACTTGTATGCACAAAGTAATGATAGATGGACCAAGTATGACTCCTATCATGAACATAAGGGCAAAGTTGCCAGGTCTACGAGTGGGTATTCTACCAATCAGAGGAGCACAACCCCAAGAGTACTGCTAAGAAAGCTAATTTCGAGACAAAATTCCATCTAACAGGGGGATGACGTGACAACCCAAAAAAAAAAATTTATCTTGTAAAGTCCAGCCAATCAATCGAGAGTCAGACTCGTTTTTGCTATCTTTTAGCATTGTTAAGGATCATTTTATGAGTTCTAAGCCTAGTTCACTTAAGGATTGGGTGCAGGGTTATGTTAACTTAGGATCATCGTGTTGCAATCGAGCGAAGAATTCCTTCAAGAGGAGTGTACGGCCGCACACATGAGTGTACGACCGTACACCCAAGATGGCCGTGAACTCATGCCCTTTATGTAGGGTATTCCTTCATTTCTTCTTCATTCTTACACTTTCAACTCAAAGAACTTCCATTCTCTCTCAAGTATCATCAAGAATTACTCCATTTCCCGTCCAAATTGTAAGTGATTCTTCCATGTATTCCTTGATATCCTTCTTAATCTAGTACAACCCGATGATTTCATCCATGAATTCACCACTTTAGTCTAGATCTTCAAGATCACCATCTTTCACCAAGAACACACACTAGTTCTTGGTGGCCGTGAACCCCCTTCAAGCTTCCAAATCGTAAGTATCCTTTCCATATACTTAGTATACATTAGAAACTCTTGATTTACACCCAAGAAACAACCATTTTGCATGAACAACAAGAGTGTACGGCCGTACACCATTGCATGGCCGTACACACCTCAAGACCCTCCAAAATGAGAACTTTGTTCATCTTCTTGTTGCTCATTAGACACACTAGTTTCCCCATGGATCAAAACACCCTTTTTGCATGTTTTACCATGAGTGTACAACCATACACTCCTTAACCGTACACCCCTTGGTCGTACACTCTCTTGTGTGGCCGTAAACCCCGTTTTAGTCAATCACATGTGATTGTAACACTTAGTTCAAGTGTTTCCTAGTCCCTAAGGGTGTTTCCTTGCATGTTAGTTGTGTAAAACACTAATTACATGCCTATATATGCCATTATATGTCATTTAGGACTCGTTTGTGTCTCGGGAATTCATTCGTGGAACTTTTCATCCTTACACGAATCTGCAATTGAATCACCCACATAAGGTGAGTTCATACCCCTATAATCAATCTTTTGACTGTTTTAAATGCTTTTAAGGGGGGGCGGGAATACAAGTTGAACACAATGATAATTGTGTAAATGTTATTTGTGATAACCGTCACTTTAAAGGATTTCTTATGCTTTTATAAGTGATCAAAACCATTTCAAAAACTCTTTTTGAAGCTATGTTACTTTATTG